ACAGACAGACAGACAGACAGACAGACAGACAGACAGACAGACAGACAGACAGACAGATAGGATAAATTGTGTAGGACAATTCCCAATGTATGCTAATTATAGTGAATTTCGCTTTGCTTCTGTGACACTGTACCAAAAATTCAGAATGACTACAATTCTGAAAAAAATGTCATGCTGTTATCAACAAGCAGATTATTTTTTTTAGGATTTTAAYGTAAAATAATTTCCAGCATATTTGCAAAACAACTTATTTTCAGTCCCCAACACAACATGATTGACTGGAGCCTTTCGTGCAGGCTGGACTGAAGAGAGTGATGAGTGCAGGTGTGGGGCACACGGCAGGGCGTGTAAAAGGTTAACGTGAATATTGATATTAAAGCGATGTTGCTTCATCATGTCTGTGTGAGCGAGTAAAACGCTCCTTTAAAGGTCATTCCTGTTCTCCTCTCTCTCCCTACAGAGCTCCACTCACTCTCTGTCAGGCCACGGCTACTCGGTAAGTGACATTTTCATGCTTCATGGCTTTACGGCAGAATTACAATCTCCAACGACCTGCTTTATGGCCTTACCGCTCAACATTTTAATTATGTTAAATAGAGTAATGGAGAAATCATGATATTAGGGCCATTAATTCTGGCTGACTGACTGATTAAATTGCGGGAAGGTGTCCTGCGCTACCTTGGCGAAAAGTGCCTCGTTTTATTGGCATCGATCAGCGCTGTTCGCCAGTGGTGCAATTTGGCTGTCAGAGCTTTATATCTTCTTGCACTAACTGTCAGTTGGGGRTCCTTTTGCACACAATAATGTAAATACAGTTTTCCATAACTGCGGAAATGCATATTCATTTGCAGTATATCTTCAGGTAGATCCTAAAATTAATTGTCGCAGTTTGTAAGAGCTGTCTCTGTAGATATGAAGTGTGTTGGTGCATGAGACAGGTTTTCTTATCAAAAAGCACCAAGTGGTTCAAAGTAAATGGAAGAGAGGAAAATTAGGTGACGTCTTGGAAAACATCGGTCCCAATCTTCTTGAACATTTACTAGCTCACAAATTGTCACTTCAGGCCTATTTTTATCCATTCAAAGCCTTTGTTGTCTTACCTCATTGTGTTCTCATAGTCTAACTTTGTCCTTTTCACCACCTATAATTTTTATGATGTGTCTAATCTCAGGGTAATACAGACAGCGGTTGTCCTTTGTGTCCTTTGCTTAGAAAAAATACTCATAAGAAGTAGATTATTTAACGTGTGCCACCTTTGCTTATGAGTGACATATGGCAGCTCTTATTGCATTTGGAAGCAATCATCTAAACAAACAAAACAACTATAAATGGTTTGTCATCCCTAATCTGCCTCAGAAGACTGCAGTTAAAACTCRGAATAAAGCAAACTTCAAAAGACGTTGATCTCTGTGCAATCATTTGTTAGGCTGTTTTAATAGAACATGTCACATTCCTATTCCCCAACGGGTGCATACTCACAGATGGATGAAAACAAACAAGACCTACAAAAAAAAAGCTGGTGCAGCCCTTTGGCTTGAGCTGTCAGTTTGAGTCGGCAGGAAGCGAGGCCTTCTCTTTATCTGAAAGAAGAAGGGAGGGCTTCAGTGGGAAAGAGAAAGGGCAGAGATGGAGGTGGAGTTGGCTTGGGGGGGGATTGGCGTGGGAGGTGGGGAGGCATCGTGCAAGCAAAGGAAAGTCTAGCATCAAGGGCAGGAAGTTTCATGTTGTCTGGCTTCCTTCTCAGGCTATCTGATGGTGCTATCTGTACTGTTTGTAGCCTTTAGGCACCTCCTGGGTACTGAGCCCTGACTCTCAATCTGCTCTGCCGCTGGCTCTGCTTGATTTCTGGGGGCTGCTTATCTGTAAGTGCTTCAGGCTTTACACTGTGATGGTTTTGAAGGGGGGTGGGGCTCGGGGTGGCCGTTCAGAAGGGCTACAAGGAGCTGCGAGCCAGAGGCCGATAGGTTATAGGATGAAGA